TCTAATTTTCAAACACAATGCTTCATCTGTTAACCAATAATATGTATATTACTTCACATAAATTCAAAAATAATAAATATGTGGAAATGTTTCTACATGCATATAGGCAATACAAATCCTAACAGTATTAATGAAAGTAGCAAGAAAAGGATGGTCATTCAAAATTTCCCTTTCTGGGTATTATGGCTAATCAGAAGAGCAGAGACAGAGGCTTCTGAAAAGTTATGACCTGTATTTGCTAATAATCACTCACTTCCCTGCATCACACATAGCAGGGAAAATATTTCCTAAAAACATCTCTTGGCAATTCTTTTCCTTCTCTTCTCATTTCTTTGCCTTCTGTATGGTTGAAATTCAGATTGTAATTTCTAAAGAACTGAGACCTAGCCTGAACTGTGCTATTACTTTTAAAATAAAAATAACATTTTATACATGTTAATCTCTTGCACAGATTTTTCTCTTTCATTTACAATTTTTTTTATATTAGTAGATACTGTAAAGCAACATATGACAATTTGTTTAAGGAAGTTATATTTGTATAACTTTGGTATAAGTTCTGGAAGCAAAAGTACAATTTTCTCCTCATCACTGGAATTTTACATATACTTCTCTAAGAGTACTGTAAATATAATGACACAAGTTCAGAATAAACATGCATAAGTTTTGGTGTATTTAATGATCATATTACTATTCCAGTTTTTTGTGTGGATTATTTTGAAAAATGTCCAAGTAAGGGTATTCAAACTATGATATTTTAAATTTGTTTTCACATTATACTAATACATGGTGTGATTTGTTTGGTTTTTGCTTGGTGTGTTGTGCGAATCCAGCTATTGTAGTTTATTGAAAAAAGCATGACAACATAATATATAAACCCAGCCTTAATATATGGACTTCTGATGGTTTAAGCAATTATGGTAATAAAGCCATTTTGTTTGTGTTCATTTCATTTCATGAACAGCAAGTGGTAGTGCTTCTGTTTTACATTTTTGCATTTTCCATTTGCAAGGCTACTGTAGAATAACAAATTATAGTGCCTTTGCTATTTTTTTAACATTTGTACCTGAGATAAATTAATTACTCAGCATGATTTCTTTCTTGAGTAAGTTGCACTTCTTGTCAAAGATGAATGGCAAGGGAATCCTGGCAGTATATTAATCCACTGTATTCAGTATGCTGTATCTGCATTAAACTTATCAGAAATTAGTGGCCTGTCTTATTTAGTTCTTTGACAGAAAGGTCCCAAAGGTCCCAAAGGTCCCAAAGGTCAATGTTGGAGGTAGGTTAGGGCAACTATGTTAACTATGTTTAACTATGTTAAAAACTAAATTATAGTTCACCATCATTCTGCTGATTACTGCCTTTCTGGTGTAGCATCTTTGCAAACTCAAACATTTATAAGGTCAATTTAGGTACTTGCCACAGCAAAGCAGATTGTGAGGAGGCACGTTGAAGAGACTGTTGACCTTTGGGTGGAGGTCAATTTGTCATTCAACAACAATTTATATAGAATAAAGATATAACAAATATGACAGCATAAGGAAACTGTTTGTGAAGGGTTTGTCTTCTGTTTTTACCCACATGTCATGCATGTGTATTTAGACAACCACGGCTTCATTTAATTTCACTTATGAATATCTATCTCCTCCTAGTGGTAACTGTATTTGTTGTTTCTCCACTGGCATTGGTTTGAGGATGAAATAACCATGTTTTCTTGATTCCAAATGAATTGTCTGAATCTTACTGTTTAAGGGAACAATCTGAGTCCAGTAGAACCAGCTATTGTGGACTATAGATGAGATAATATGTATTGCCAATCACTTTGTTAGTATATTGTTTAAAATGTTATTCATGAAGAACAATGAAGTGCAGCAGTTTTCTCCAACTTCCATGTAGTCACTGGGGTACTTCCTTACATGCTATGCAGCGTTTATAATGTTTTTAATAAAACTATGTTTATGTTAATAACTGTTTATTGTTTTTGTATTTTTTTTTGCTTCTTGTGAAATGGACAGTTACATAAATTTGTTAAATAGCAATTTTGTCAGCCAAATTTGATAAATGTCATATAATAGACAAAACACATAGTTTACCCAAACTGTGGCTTGATCACAGCTTATATGACCATCAACAGTCATTTGTCTTTCATCTTTTTCAAGCTAAATATAATTTAATGTATATGGGTTCATAAAGTGGTCTATGACTAATATATGCTTTTAATTAATATGCCTGTTTCAGTTTCACCACTTCAGGATGTAGTTAACACTTCATATATAATTCAAAGCAAAAAGTAGATATTATGACATGAAATGAGAGGAAAACAGTTTTTTATACTAAAAAATTCTAGATCCTATGTACAATTATTTTAAAAGTATGATCTCAGTGGCTAGAATTCTGAGTTCAGTTGTCTTTGTGAGAGTGTCCCATTAATTGACTTCATAGGTTAGTAGAAGAGCACAAGCATTTTTCTCTTTTGTCTCTATCTTCTTTAACACAATGACATATAGGGAATAACTGACTTGGAAATGATACTTAAGAAAAAAACTTGCTAAGTTAGGAACAGTCTTAATGCAACTTATTGCAACTAGGTATGCTTCAAAGTCAAAAGGATGGACTAAACTTTAATTCATCCAATTCTTCCAGAGAGAAGGTAGGGAGAACCAACACACAGGAGAGAAATAGAGCTTGGGAGAAGAAATTGGAGGGTTGACTCAATGAGGAAGAATCAGCCTTACAGAGTGGAAGAGAAAAAGATCAATGTCTATATTTGTGTGATTAAGAATAGAATGCATGATTATTTGTATAAGAGATGAAGATAATATATACATATATCTTGGAAATAGGAAACCAGTGATCAGATTTCCACACTTTCTAAATGGTAATGTGGCTGGGAGGGGACTGGCTTACAATTAAATAAGTTCTTGTGGTCTGTAAACTATTGTTCATGGCTTAGTTATGTGAACATAGTCAACTATCATTTATGTAGGAACTCGGGATAAAAAAACTTGGATGTGAACCAGGTCTGTCTCCCTTTCTCCTTTTATTTATTTATTGTTGAATATGATTGTGAAAGAATGATTATATTTGCACTATGGGGTTTGTGGATTTTTGCATTTCAAAGGAAGTAATTTTAAAGTTAATCTTCTATTTGGCAAAATTATTTTCCGAAAGAAAATTAGCTAACCTTTTTGAGAATTGATACAAGAAACATGGGATTAAAACAGTGTGCTTGCATTTTAATTTCAGCTGCTTTTCTTTTTTAAAAAGGAATACTTTGTTCCAATACTACATATTAGCCACAATTCATGCCAGGCATTTTATGATAGCATCCAACCATATTGTCCTCAAAACTCCAATGGGCTCACAGGCCAAAAAGGTTTGAGGCTCTTATGTAAGATGTCATGGAATTCCAAATTAAATATAGACATGGATTTTTTAAATAAAAAGTTACTTAAATGTAATCTCAACCAGTTTTATTTTACTTTGAAAGAAGAGTTTATATAGAAAGAAATAAGGTCACATGGGCAGTTAGTTTATTTGGGTAAAGAGATAATAGAAATCATGACAAAATTACATGAACACATTACATGACATGACTCTAATCAGAACGATTGCTTAAGGTGCCTTCTGCCAAATAGAGGTTGGCAGATGGTTACTGGAATGCTGACCTCCTGAATAGAGAATACCATTCTTAGAAAAGCTTGTCTGGTGGTTATTTTATGGTTCCTTTGGTGTCAGATAATAAACTGGTTTATCAGAGCCTCTTTAAAAAGTTTTTTTTAAAGATTGAATTAACCAATGTTTAATATTATTTATTTATTTATTTATTTATTTATTTATTTATTTATTTATTGTGGCACTGTTTTTTCCAATTTATTCTGCAGTAACTCCTTACAGAAAAGTAAGGAGTTAATTCCCTTGATGATTTAATTGGTTTGGAATTAGTAGACAAATAGAGTGAAATGTTAAAATATGTATAACATAGGATTTGAGAATTGTCAGTTTGATACAGCTTTTCCACCATTATGTATCTTCATCTGTGTAATTCAATAAACTCAATATAAAACCTAGGTGTAGGTAGTTATGTTTCTTTGGAGAAAATTGTGTTTTCCTTTTAGAATTTGCATTTTACTGAATTGTACATGATTTCAATTATATATTTAATACTTATATAACACAGCTGAATGTACAGTATCTACAGTAAAGATTAGCCATACAAATTTAATTGACCAAGAGGTAAGAGCTTCCTGCTTGAGAGTGATATGCTTGCTACTGCTTTTTTTCTATTTCCCTTCCCATGCGTACATATAGACAACTGTCTTTGTTCATGCATGTCATGTAAACTTCAGATTATACTTTTATTTCAGAATATGACTTGATAAATTATCCCATAATAGCTAAAATGCAGCTGAGACATACTTCTCATTAATATATTTCTTTAAATACTGTTCTATATAGTATATAGAATTTGTGTCACCAACGTGCCACAAATCAAGTTGAAAGCACTCTAATACTGTAGAACTCTAACAGACAAGGCTGCAAAATATGTACGATATGTCTTTTGTCTTCTGCAGTACATATTGAAGTGACTTTACTCAAGTCTGCTCGGTATAGGGCAGTACAGCTTGATCAAGCATCAAGCTGTCAAATTTGATGCTTGAAATCTCAAGAGCTTCTTGGTTTACTCCAACCATATATCAATATCCTCCTGCAGGTTGTGATACCTATGTTATAGATTTGCATCTGAGTTAAGATGTCTTACATGCAAGACAAGGCTGTAAATAAAACATGTTTGACTTGGTGTATATTATTCAATTCTGTTGAACGAAATCATTTCATTCTATTCCAGAAATTATCTCTACCTCTAGATAAGAGACATTTGTTCTGAATCACATAATGAATATTTCAATCAACATATTTGAAAAAGGACTTGTGTGAAATTCATCCTTCTAAATTATTCTAAACATGAGACATTATGATACCTTTTTTATTATAGGTTGTCTGGCAGTAATTGTTGCAAATCCACCAAAGCCTTGATGTTTGGTTTGTGAAATTGACACAGCGGAATCCACAAGGAATGGAGAAATCGGTTTCCACTGCTTTATCAGAACAGGAGAAAGAGCATGAGGATGACCAAGGAAAAGCTGTGCCAATGACCCTTGTGTCAAACAAAGAGGATCTTATTGCCCTTGAGTATCCCCAAGGTGAAGCGAGAATTCCTGCTTTTTTAAAAGATGCAAAAACATCTCTTGAGCACACAGCTTTGTTGAGGGCATCAAAGGAAGGGGGGATTGATCTGAAAGGGGCTGTCCCAAATTTTTCAGAGATGCTAGAAGCCATGAATAGAGAGGGGAAAGTGACTGAGATGTATAGTCATAAAGAGGGTATCAATTTATTATCCCTATTCATTTGTCAAGATTCAGATACTGCTTTGGAAGACTGTGAAGTCACAGGTAAGTCTAGTGCTACATAATGGCAGGCTTCATAAGGCTTTATTTCTTGCTCCATAGATAAGCCAGAGTTCAGAGAGTATCCTGAGATGAAAATGAAAGAATTATCTAACAAGTCAAGAACAAAATCACAGAAATATCTAAATGTGATTCTTATGTTGTGGATAATTGGATTGGGGTTGGAAATATGGCTATATTATGTTTATTTAAACTATACAGGAACATGATAAAAATATCCTAATATTAAGGATACAGTTGGACAGAGGAAAGCTTTACCTTTTTTAATTAGGAAGCATGGCCATTTTTTGTTAACAATTTCTGCATATGGGATTGAGTAAGATTTTTCAAGCTGAGGGCAACCCTTTCTCTTTTTACTCTGTTTGGGAACATAAAATACACAATGTGATTGCACGGATGTGAGTAGGATCTACTATTTTAGATTCTTTTTCATAAAGGTGAATTAAGGAGCAGAAATGAAGCCTTAAATCTCACAAAAAGTTTGTAGAAGTTCACAAAAATGCTTGTGTAAAGTATCTTTTAGATGGATTAAAAAAAATATTGGAGTGTTTTTACTTAGCAGTCCTACAATCCAGGCATTTCATAATTTCTTCTTTATCATATGTGCATTGTGTTCATGTAGAAGATTAAATAAGTGGCGTGATAAGATATTAAGGTTACAGATTTTTTTAAATTTCAATTGAAGTAATTGCAGAATAAAAGCCTTGTTTGGTTATGTCACTTGGCTGCACCAAATTGACACCACATGCTAGGATACCACGTATGTTTTGTCTTCTGTAACGAAGTCTACATACAGTGAAGCAAGGAAATGTACCCTTAATCAAAAAGATTTGATGTTAGAAAAAAATTGGGAGGTGTAGAAATACAATACAGATATCCTCGTCTTACAACCACAATTGAGCCCTAACTTTCTTTTGCTAAGTGACACATTTGTTAAGTACATTTTACACCATTTTATGACCTTTCTTGCCACAGTTTAGTTGAAGCAGTGCAGCTGTTAAGTTAATAATGTGGTTGCTAAGTGAATCCAACTTACACATTATCTTTGCTTGTAAGAAGGGTGCAAAAGGGGATTGAATGGCCCTAGGACACAGCAACTGTCATAATTATGAGTCAGTTGCCAAGCATCTGAAGTTTGACCACAAAGATGCTGTATTGGTAGTCAGTGAGAAAAGTAGTTATTTTTTAATGCCATTGTAACTTTGAATGGTCACTAAATGAATTGTAAGTCGAGGAGTACCTGTAATTATAGAAATAATTATTATTACTTTGATAATAAATGCAATATCAAATCTGTACATGGTAGAGTTCTGCCCATTGGAGAGTTGTGGCTTTTGAATTGTAGGGGTTGGGTACCATTTCCTTGGAACTGTATACAGTTTGTTTTTTGTGTGTTCCATCAAACTGAGTTATTTTATTATTTTTAAAAAATTCCTTTTTCATGATCAAATGTGGTGTTTTTTAACAAACAAAAACAGTTTTCCCCACAGTGATTCATTATAGCAAATATTGTGTCGAATATATCAGAATTATTAATTTTGAATGTTAAGAATTGAATACAGTATTAACCTTGATCTCTGTTATATTTTTAAATCTGCTATTATTATTGCTTCCTTGGTACTTAATTATGGGCTGAGAATCCATCCATGGATATTTTTATTTATATAACAAAAATGAATGCATGCTCAAATGTTTTCCAAATGAAATGCAGAAATAGCTGAATTTTAAAAAGTATATAAATGTATTTCTGCTTGCCTATTTTTTTTTTTTGCTAACTTTGTTAGCTCCTTCTGCTCATGAAGAAACAAAGAGAAATATGCAGAGCATTGAAAAACATGCTTCCTACGAAGCTGTGAAATTTCATTAGGCCTCACTCACACATTTTCAAGTTTACCTTTCACAGCCAGAATGACTGAAAGCCATTCTTTTTTTAGCTAAAAGTTGATATTTGCAGTTCAGTATGTGGTGCACCTGGAAATTGGATCAGAAATCACTTATATTTTATTTTTGATACTTGGTTTATTATGAGCTGAATGAACATTCTCCTTTCAACAGTATATGATGGTGTATCTCTGACATTTTGCATAGGAAATTATATAGGAAATTGCCATAGGTTTGTTGTCAGAGGTAACTATTGCAAAGGTATTTCTTTCAGAATCCTGACCATAAACAGGTTTGCAATGCACCTGAGATGGCATGATAAGATTCCCACCTCAACTAATCAGATAATGTGAAAATTACAGTTGTAGGATACATGTGATAAATTAGCATTTTGAGGAATAAGAAATTGCCCAAGTATGCTTAGCCAGAAGAATAAGTATGAGATTTATTTATTTCCTGGCAATTGGTTGAGGTGCTTCCTTTCTTGTCTACAGGTGCCTATCCAGGCTGAGAGCTTGGGGAAGGAAACCTCCACTGGAAGGATAAATCAACATAAAACTTCTTATTATTGGGAGTGGTGTTTTCAGTTAGCTAGTTTCAGATTATTTCTATAGGTAATCCTCATTTACCAACAGTCTTGTTCAGTGACCTTTTGAAGTTAGCCAGTTACTGTCTCTCAATCATGGGATCGACATTACCATCAGAATATAATGTCCTCTTGTTTTTCTTGCCCTCTCTTGATTTTAGAGCAGACAGATTGAATAGAAAGGCAATACAAGAAAGTAAAGAAGTACACAGTGGAGAATACACATTGAAACCAATGTGCTGGTGTTTGCAGCTACACAAACAGCCCAGATAATTCCTCATTGTATGCCTATATATTCTCCAAACTCTCCCTTTTGTGAGGGGGAAGAAAATAATAACCAAGCAATTTCCATAGGCAATTTCTCCTGTGCCTGATTAATTCCACTCCCCAGCAGAAAGTTTTGAGAGGAAAGGATTACAAGAGAGTAGTAAGTAGGTACTTAGTGGGGAATGCAGCAGGTTGTATAATGTATTTGAAGCTGCCAGTGCCAGTATTGCTTTCAATATTTATTTCCATTGTGAGCCTGCTTATTCTCTTGTAATCCCTTCCTCTAAAACCAATGTAAATACAAATATTAATTCCTTCTTGTTAATTATCCCAGTCCTGGGTTTACCATTCCAAAGGAAGTGAAGGAGGTCAGGAGGTAGGCAAAAGTGAACTCTGTTTTGAGCCAAAAAGCACTGTTGCAGTCACATGACTTTCCATTTACTGTAACAGCTGATTTGCTTAATGACAGTGTTGCCAGTCCCAATTGCAGTCACTAAACATGGACTATGTGTGCTTAGTAAAACTGCTGATTATGCTCTGGAAGTGGATGCCACATTTTTGCGATGAGGGAATTAATTGATGTATCCTTCATATTTACTTTCTATGTGTGAAAAGTTAGATTGATTTCATTTTTGCTGCTATATTTTGATGAATTTATCCATCAAGATCACGGGTATTAAGCTCGTGACTTCATGTTATCATCACATGACATATCGTGATGTTTTTTCCCTTTGTGGAGCTGGGGTGGGCGAGGCCTGCACGTGATACATCTGGCCCATGAGCTGCCAGTTTGACACCTGTGATCAAGATAGTGAAGAATTTGGTAATATCATCAAATATTTTCTAAATTTCTAGAGACCATGACAAAACCTTATACCTCTTAAGATTTTTTGAAATAATATTAAATACATTTAAATAATTTTGTAATCATATGGATACAAAGTTAATATTTTATAAATTTTCTGTGTCTCTTTTTAAAACAAATTCTAAATGCAGTGCAAGATGGCTAATCCTGTCTTGCATTTACAGAATTCTTAAGACTGCTAAAAAACAATGGGCCTCTGTCCCAGTGTGGCTTTTTTGGCCTACAATGTGTTTGTGATCCTGTTTCTGCTGGTAAAAGTGAAGACAAGAAATGTCTTCAGTGTTCATTTCAATGTTCATTTTCTGAGAGAAAGAAATAGAAAACAATACTTGAGGTTTGATTTCAGTTGTTATAAACTTTGTGTTTTGTAACTTGAGTTACTTGCTGCACTGTGTCAAAATGTGAAGATCAAAATATCAACCAGTATTGCAATAGAAAGATCTACTTAGTCTTATGCTGATCTTTACTACTCCTTTATGCTTTTGCATACTTGATCTTTACACTGGATTCAGCTTCAATTTATGGATAATTAATATTTCCTAATAAACAAACAGTGTTGATATTTCTTTCCATCTGCCAGTCAAAATACTATTTTTGTAGCCATTGATTTTTAGTTTCTAAATCTCTAGATCAGGGGTCCCCAACCCCTCGACCATAGACTGGTTTGTGTCCTATTAGGAATTGAACCTCACAGCTGGAGGAGAACAGCAGGTGAGCGAGCGAAGCTTCATTTGTATTTTCAGCTGTTCCCCATCACTGCCTCAGCTACACTTCAAATAATCAGATATTAGATTCTCATAGGAGTGTGAATCCTACTGTAAACTGCACATGCGAGGGATCTAGGCTGCACTCTCCTTCTCTTTCCATCCGGCCCATGGAAAAATTGGGTTCTACAAAACTAATTCCTGGTGCCAAAAGGTTTGGGGACTACTGCTCTAAACATTTATAAATAAATAAATAAAATCCCTTGAGCTGATCTTAATTCTTTGTGACTATATCCATGCAGTTTCCTTGGTAGCATTGGAAGTGTAGTTTGCCATTGCCACCTTCTTGAATGTTTTTTCCACTTCATATATTTAGTTAATTACATTGTACCTGACTTCGTTGTACTTATACAGAAGTAAAAATTACTGAATT